TAAAATTTTGTGTAATTATATTTTAATTCAAATGTATCAAGTTGGTGTATCATGCTTAATGAGATGACCAATATATATATATATTATGATTGTTAATAATAAAACAATTTATAAAATTTAGAGATATAATAATCTAATAAAGTAATCAGATTGACAATTCTTAAATGATAGATTAGGATTCAAATTTTATTAGTAATGAAAATTTAAATAATTATTAATATAATATTTGTATTATAACAATTGTTATTAATAATTAAGTTAGAATATTTGTAATATTAGTTATATTAGCATGACTGGCAAGTTATAAGACATTTGTATAATTAGTTACATAAAAGAATACAAACTAACAAATTAGGTAGTACACATCCTAAATAAGTTCTTGTGATCATGTAAATTTATTAAAATTAGATAACAAGATGTCTATTTAAAAAAACTCAAATAAAAAGATAATTAGATTTTAATAGTCTTATTGTAAAGGCTAGTCTGAAGAAACAAATATTAAGATTATAGTATCTAATTATAGTAGTTAGACAGACAAAAACTTTTGAGTTAGAAATCTTAGAAATACTACTAACTAAACTATTAGAATGAATCAGAAGAAAAGAATATCAAACTAACCTAATATACTAATAGACTGATCATAGCCTTATATAGACTATTTGAATTGAAAGTTTAGTAAAAAAACAGGTAAAAGGCAAAAAGTATACTAAAGTTCTAGGGTTATGTTGTAAAGTAAATACTAAGATTTGTGTGAACTTTATAAGAAAATAGTAATTAAATGATATAACTCTAATCACAAATGTTAGTTCTATTATAATGATATCTAGATCAATTGTAAAAATAATTACAAAAGACTTAGAAAAGTTTATCTCAAAGATAAAATAGTTTTAAGGTTGAGACAATGATCTGAGCATCAGAGTATGACACAGTAATATTAATACACATTACAAGTTCAAAAAATTTAAAATGAAACATTCAAACAAAGATGTTAAGTATAACAATTGGTAAAGAACCTTCAAGCAAACTTCTTAAATAGGTAATATAGAAAACTTACACATGTAGTTAATTGTATGCTCTTCTGTAGTGATTTATAAAATCACATTACCAAAAAAATCATTAATAAAAAGTCAAAAGACCAAAGAAGTCATTTTAATATCAAAAAAAAAAAAATTTATAAAATTTATTGATTTTCTATAATACGTATTGTCTATTCATTTACAATTAGTACATGCTTTTAATACATATAAAACAATACATAAAATAAAGTAATAAATGCGTCAAACAGGTTTACTTATTAATCAGTATTTCAGTTTTGTTTTATTTAGCCCAATGTTTTATCAATAGCCAATCAGCATGTCACATTACTATGTAATTAAGTATTAATTATTACGTATAATTGGCTGGTATAGTAAACAATAAGATGAATCAAGAAAAAACACATCAAACAATAGGCTGCAGGCCGGCAAATTACTATAGGATTTTAAGCCCTGGCGGGCATGCCTTGTGCCCTGTGCCCACAACCTTAGTGATATTACCTAGCGTGAAAATTAGTCCTTCGAATATTTCGAATATTTCCTAATCAAAATCTGAACTTACATACTAATGTGTTTTTCCTTGATTAAGAAATCTAGCACGCATGACTATCATGGCAAGTTTCCTAAACTTGATTGCCTGCAGTAAACTCTGATGATTGGATAAAATCACATGACTTTCTGAATGTGAATCACGAGATCTCCTATTTAAATGTACATTCCACTTAAAAAACTCGCCTTAATTTTGTTTCTGTTAGACTGTCTCGCGGATAAAGACTCACGTGTCATAAATGAGTAGCATTAAAGTGTAAGTTTTGATCGCGTCCTGTCTTAATATTTTTACGTCAAATAACCAAGGACTAATATTTATTACCTTGTAAAGTCTTGCCACTGGCTCAGCCAACGGAAAACTCGTTGAACTCTTTTCTGGAGTTACAAAGTTCAATAACAAATGGGGTCCTTTCGATTTATTATTATGCGTTGGCGATCTGTTTGGTGAAAATACCGACGAAATAAATCGGTTATTATCAGAGGAAATAAAAAGTAGGCATACGTGTTTATGAGTTATTTGACTTCATGGGTTGAAAGTACTCATAATCAATCCATTTTCAGTTCCGATAACAACATATTTTATGCATGGTAAATATGAATTGCCGGATATCGTGAAAGAACGTGTCGAAAATAATAATGGGGAGTTATGTCAGAACCTTTTCTATCTTGGTGAGAAAGTTGTTTAAATTTATGTATCCGTTTATTATCAACGATCGTTGATTCAATCAATTTTTTTTACCTTAATTTTATAGGTAATCAAGGTAGCATAACCACAACGCATGGCGTAAAAGTCGCCTTTGCGAGTGGTGTCTTAGATTCTTCAATAAATAATCACCCTACAAATGTAGATTTACTTCTCACATATGAATGGCCTAAGGACATCACCCGTTTATCTTCGCAAGAGGTTGCTGATGTATCGGGGTCCATCTACGTGGCGCAGTTAGTTGAAAGAGTCAAGCCGAGGTATCATTTTGCTGCTTCTGAGAATGTTTTCTTCAAAAGAGAACCTTATCAGAATGCTCCATCGACAAGTTCAATTGAAAATGACGATACCCAACTACAGATGGGAATTCCTACTTGGTTTGTAGGACTGGCTGAAGTTGGTAATTCAACAAAAGAAAAGGTATGATTGATCATTAAATCTATTATTAATGCTATTTTGAATTATTACTAAGAATAATTTGATATATTTATTATAATTAGTGGTATTACGGATTCAACCTCGTACCGTTAATTAATATGCCAAAATCTTCGCCTCTGAGTTATCCAAAAGATATGACTGAATGTCCCTTTAACACAAAAGGTCAAAAAAGAAAATTAGACGATACACAGCCCGTAAGATTATTTCATTTATGAAATGCTAATTTGTGTCCATTTTTAAAATACATCATTATTAATCAAATAGGATAATTATTTCTGGTCTAAGGGCGATTCATCCGGATCAACGTCTAAACGCGGTCGCACAAATGGTAGTATTTAATAGGTCTAACCATTTTCTTGTTTCTGGTATTTTGTAATGTATATTTATCACCTCTACTGCTTTTCATTTTAATGGTTCATAGGTACACCACCAGAAAGTTATACATGTAACATATGCAAGATTACTGGTCATTGGATTAAAGATTGTCCTGAAAGCATTCAAAACAAAAAACGGCAACAGAATAACAAATCGAAACCAATTCCTAAGGACTATGTTTGTAAATCGTGCAACGAAGTAGGAAAACATGTTATGTTTGATTGTCCCAACTACGAATGTAAAGGATGTGGCGAAAAAGGTCATCACCCTAAAGATTGCCCATCACCTCAGAAAGTTAAACCAATTAGACCAGGTTAGTTGCTTTTTTTTTTTGAACGTTATTAAACATTATATACCATTCCTATATTTATTTAATATATTTTATGAATAATCCAGTACAACCATGTTGGTTTTGTTTATCAAATCCGAAAACGGTCAGACAGTAAGTCATAAGTAAAATAATTATAATGTGCGAGTCTTTAAAATGTATTACAATTATAATAATCAGTGATATAATTTTCATAGTTTAATTGTCTCCATCGGAAACGAATTATATTTAGCGGTATGCTTTTTTTTTTTAAAAAAAAATTGTGAATTTATTAATATAGTAATGTAATATATATTCTTAGCTGGCTAAAGGAGGTTTGATTGATACTCAAGATCCTTCCAAATCGATTGTGCCGGGTGGTGGCCATGTTTTATTGGTAGGTAGTTGAAAAGTAACAAACTTTTTGATTTATGTGAACATTAGTATTTAATTTTTCACAAACTTTTAATAGGTTTCAATCATTCATTACGCCACGTTTCGAGAAGCTCCACTTGATGATCAAATTAATATGACAGCTGAAATGGAAAAATATAAAAGTGCTTTGAAGAGATTTTTCCAAGATTGTGGTGCAGGAATGGTATCATTTGAAATATCTTATTTCGGTAGAAAACAACAGCATCATCACGTACAATTCGTACCGGTTCCATTTGAACATGATTCCGAAAAAATTCGTGATGCATTTCTCGAGGAAGCTAATTCCGATGATTTAAAGTTTCATCAAGTCCAAGGTTCTTCTGCTATTGTGCCTGTAAACTACTTTAAAGTAGATTTACCTGATGGGTCAGGTTTGATACATGAAATTGCTATGAACGAACAATTTGATGTACAATATGGAAGGTAAGAATTTGAATTTATTTAGTAGTTGGGATTTGTTGTGTTTTATTCATTCTCAAGTAAAATTTTTTTTCTTTTTTATTTATAGAAAAGTTCTTGGTAAATTATTAGGGTCGCCACAACGTGTTAATTGGAGAGAATGTGTAATATCTGACGAACTTGAAAGAGCGGATGCCGAAAAATTTAAGGAAGCATTTTCGAAATATGATCCTATGGCGAATGTAAGAAGTTTTTAAAACTAATGATAGAAATCAGAATGAGAACATCAAAAGGTCACCAAATTTTCTGAACAGTAGTGGGATTTTTTGGTGCTCTTACTAGTCTAATAAAATGCATTATAACAAAAGAATATTATAAAACGTGATAGATTTCCAAAATATAATGGTGTTATATACAATTTAATAGTTTTATTGTAAAGGTTTTTAAGGATAAATTTTCCAGACCGATTGTCAGCATCTTTTATAGAAAGACCTAGGATTGTATAGATCGAATTCCATATGATTATTTATCTCCCATTAAATTTTATTGGGCGCAAATATGACAATATGTGCTGATTTTAAGAAAAATATTTCTAAAAAAAAAGTTCTCATAAGAGAGCGCGCCCTGCCTTTGCATGCATATATGTGCACAATTACCCGAACAAAGTATCTATTATCAGACTCGAAATCTTGCCTAATTGACAAAAAAAACTTTTTACAAAATCATCGATGCTCATTAAGTGAAGCCGGCCGGCTTTAGCGAACATTAATTTCATCTTGCGTAATGCAAACCGGTTACGCTATTTGGAGCCCAAAAATGGATGAATACTTTGTTTGGGCATATGAAAAAAAGGCGCCTATAATTGAACTATTTGATCCATAATTATCATTATTGAAAAGTCTGGTTTAATATTTTTGACTGTAATAAACATGAGCGATGGTCGACATTCAATTCCTGTGTTGCTTCAACCTTCAGGTATTGAAATGCTTTAGTTCGTGAAATTATTATAACATTATTATAACGTTTCCGAGTAACTACCTTGCACGTTGAAAACCTATAGTGGGTACCGCTTCAGCTGAGGAGTTGTCTGAAAATTATCAAAAATTATTCCAAGAATTCTCTCGGTAAATTTACTTTCATACTTTTACTTGCTTTCTATTTTATCTTATCCTTTTTATATTATTAGACTGAAAGCCCAGCACTCTGTCTTGAAGCAGGCAATCATTAAGGTTATTTTCAGTGTTTAATTTTAATTTTAATTTTAGTTTTTTTTTAAATTAATAAATCGACTTATTTACAACAGGAGTATGAAATCAATAAATCATTAAGAGACGAATGTAAGACCAAAGAACAGGAATTGCGCGCAGTATGTTCAATTAATTCTTGGTTCATTATGTTAAGGCCATACATAATTAATTTCATAAACTGGCCGGGACAAATTTTGGAAAGATATAAAAATTTTTATGTTTTATTAATTTTTGTATTGCCTAATTTGTTATTTTTCTTTTTTTGAGAATTTTATTAAATTCACATTTATTATTTACGCAGTCACTCCAACAACTCGATCTTTTAACATTCCATAATCAACGTTTAACCAAACGTATTGAAAACCTACAAGAATCGAGCGCTGCGGTACAAAAACAACTTATTTTTTAAAAAATAAATAAATCAAAATTACTTTTTTGAATTTTAACACACTATAATCAAAAATATTTACATTTTATCACATCAGAAATCGTCACCAGGCTGGTTAGTAGGTTCAGCAAAAAAAGAACTTGAAAGAACAAAAGTTCTTTTGGAAAATACAGGTGGAGAATTGACAAAGGAAATTGAAAGAAATGGTATTAAATTTGACATTATGAATTATATTTAAATATTTAACTCTGGCTCATTCTGGTGTGTGTTCATTTTACGTGTTTTTTTTTTCAGAATCATTACATAAGGAACTTTATGAGGTCAAGAGTTTATACACACAACATTCGAATGTTTTTGAAACCAGGATTTTAGAATTAGAAAGAAAGGCCGAAGAGCTCCAGGTATCCACATAAGACATTAGATTTGTATTGTATTCGATCAGGTACGCATTAATTTATATTAACACGACTTATATAGAATGAATTAACAAGATCACATCTTGCTAGCGAAGATGCTTTGAGTACATTACGTCAAGAGAAACGCGAGCTTGATAATGAACTCGAACAAACAAGATCAGAATTACGCATGTAGGTTTTCCCTGGATTTTGAATATTGTGTTATTGCTTTACTTTTTTTTAAATTATAGTTTTTTAATTCTTATTGTAGAAAGAAAGTATTTATGGAAAAGAATGAATATAAATTGAAAGGAGGAGATGATACATTTCGAGCTGAAATGATTGTTCTTAGAGATACATTGTCTATAAATTCTGAGAATTCTTTCGAACCACAAACAGATAAATTCAATGTTTGTAGCTTATTACATTTTAAAATTTTATAAGCCGGATCTTTTTATAACATGCATATATATATTTCTTTTTTTTTTTACAGGAATTACAGGATAGAATTGATAATGAGTCTAATGAACTTATTGCAAGCTTTAGACAATTGCAATTAAATGCAAAGGATTACTTGAAATCTCTTGAAGCGAAGGTAAGAGTAAGTTAATCCTCTTTTTTAAATTGGAATATCTTTAACTAATTCAACTAATTGTGTAATTTAGTCAGAATCATCTTATGATCTAGGCCTTAAAGTTAAAAATGCTAGTAAAGTATGGCAACAAAATCTGCAAACATTGGCAGTGAAATTGGCATCTGCTCAAAGTACACAAATATTATTGACTTTTTTCTGTAAATTGTCAAAACCTTTCATTAACTATTTTTTTATAAAGGCCGAATATTAGATTTGACAGCAGAAAAAGAGAAACTTGTTAAAGTGAATGAACATGACTCAAATAGGGCTGCGACTCTGGAAACTGAAATCACTCGGTTAAAGGAAGAATTGAATAGACATAAGGTGAATTATATGAATTATATTCGATAACTATGCATGATTGATTGTATACATTCTAACATTTTTTACTTGCTTTCTAGGAACATACTCTGAACCCGAATGGTTCAATGCATCCACCTAAAACTGGAGACGGTGTTGAAAATTGTACTGGTAACAATATTATTAAATGGAAAACAATTGTGAAATTTCTGGCAAAAACAATAATTCTTTATCAATATCTAAACTAGCGTCTCAGGATGATGATGATGATGAGGAGGTCTGTCTTTTTAAAAATAATCAACTGTGACGCTTTTGATAATCTATAATTGCTCCTAATGAAGAATATCTTTTCAATGCTAGCAGTTTGTTTATCCAGTTAATCCTGAAAAGAAAGAAAGCCCTGAACATTCAAGTCAACCAACTGAGAATACATCTCACCCTACAACCATTATGACCCCACAAACAAGATTCGTAAGTGATACTGACTCTAGCACAAGCAGCAATGGTAATGTAGGTACTCATGCATTAGAACGTGATATAGGAGTAATTAATGTCACAGTTGATGCTGATTTTGGCTGATGTTGACGTGATGATCGGCCAATAGTAAGTCGTGGTTAGAAAATTCAAAACAAATTTGCATAGAAGAACTTTTCATGCATTAGCAAAAAACTTTTCCTTTGAGATTTTATTATATAGCTCACTGACCTCTAACCTTAATCTAACCTCTAACACTAATTTAAACGCTAACCCTAACATAAATGAACTCTGTATATGACAACAAAATTTTTTATTATTTGTCACGTGAACGTCAGCATCAGCCGTGACAATTAATACACTCTGCACTAAATTCCATATTTTTTTTTAACAAGTGACTTCTATGATTAGCGCTCTTCTAAAAATGAGGAAGATGCCATACGAGCAACACTTATCAAGAAGCATTATGAATCTAGAATAAGCCAATTAACAGAACAGGTTAATACCTTATTTTTTCATTCTCTTGAACATACAAAATATATTTATTTGGAATTTAATTATTTATGATTATAGTTACAATTAGCGAATAAAAAGTCTGTACAATTACATACATCTCTAAAAGTCATTCAAGAAAAATTGGTTGATTCGGAAAATCAAAAATTACGGTCAGAACAAGAAAATTTGAAATTACAAAATGAATTGTCTCGATTGAGGGTAATTTATTGAAAAGATTTTAACCTTTTTCCAATACACTTTCTTACAACTTTTGTTTTGAAATTTATTAGGAAAAATTGAATGAGGATCGTGCAAATCATGATAAGCAGGTTAAAGAAATGGAGGGGTGGACCGAGCAACGGCAAAATAAGATTAAAGAATTGAATGACCAATTATCGGGATATGAAGCTGGAACTTCACGAAATGAATAAATGTATTCTAAAGTTTTTATTTGTATATTATTTACATTGTATTTACATATCGTGTAACAACAGTTTATATAAAAAAACATTGGCCTTATTACATGAAATGGTAATTTTTATGGCTAACATAAAATTTTTTTATTTTTTAAAAAAAAACTTATTCTACATAAATTTTTTTTTAATCGAGATTTGAGATGATTTGACAAATTCTAATTATAAATGGAGAAACCATACTTTGGGCTCATTCTGTTGGATTTTTTTGTTGAGTCCGGTTTGTCTTCAATCTGTGCTCGACTTATGATCACATGAAATTCGTGATAAATTGAGAAGTTATGAATATCGAATACAACATTTATGGCTCTTTTAAGTTATATCTTATTGGTAATCAGAAAGGCAAATTGGATAATTTCTTTTCCTAGGTGACAAGAAAATGCTATCTCAAAAATATATCAGGGAGTATAGGATATGCTGATTTTCACAATCGAATTTTATTGGCCACGTGATGATCGGCAGCAAATTTAGCCAATAAGTAGATTGCATGTTAGCAAAACTAAAAATTCTAAAGTTCACCCAAAAGATTTGTGATTTTTGGCCAATTATATCGAAGGATCAGGTGTAACATAAAATCAAAAACAATCGAATTAAGCGAAAGGTTTTAAAGTAATAAACATCATCTTTAGAGTTAGGATTAAGGATAAGAAAGGTCATAGCTTACACTAAATTTCACGAGGAATTTTTTTATTAGAACGCAGAAGGCAGTTTAATAGGTAAAATTTCGAGTTAATAAGCATAGGTAAAGTTCGATTTTATTGGTTAGCGATGATTGACATTATCAAAATTTCCGATTGGTTGATTTAATAAACATACTACATATTTTATTATCCTATATATTACTGCAGTACTGTATTAATGCGCGTTATAATTAATACTTTTCATACTTTTTTAGCTATATACCTCGTTTAAATCTATTTAACATATGTAATCTAAATGCTTATCTGAATGTTGTAGCTAACATTAATGCAAAATAGCAAAGATATCTAAATTTTTACGTTGAAATTTACTTAATGGTTGCAAGTTAGTGTATAATTAGTTATTGTAGCAAATTTTTAATTGTTCGCGTTTCTTTGTTTTTTTCTTTGGACGTTACACGTAAGCTTATAATTGTAATTATGAGATCACAAATTTTTTTACCGTAATTTTGTTATCTATTTTACTGTCAACGCATTATCAGTTTTTTTTAAACTACAAAAATCATCTTAAATTTACATATTTTTAATAAACCTATATCGAAATAAAAACTTCCAATTATGGTTCAAAAAAATGAAGGTTCATGTTTAGTCCAAAATTGTGATACTAAAACAGGTCGGTTTCGCCAATTCACCCAATTGGCATATGAGAAATCCCCCAAAAAAGGAACCTACGCTTTTTATTTGATGATCGGGCAACAATTATGTCATAATCATTACATGCGTATTGTTGAACCTAACAGACACCAAAAAGCAGAGGCTCCTATTTCTGTAGAAACAGATAAAGATAGACCCCGACCAGCAATAATATAATTCAAGGTAAAAATAAAATTATAAACTAGTTAATACCTTACCACTATCCTAGCATGTGATTAGCATTGAGTGCTAATCACATGCTAGATAACCTCTAGTAAAATTAAACATTTAGATATTACTTGAACCAATATTTATTTAAAATTAATAGACCATACATTTGCTGAGCAATTTAAAATGCTCACGAATCTTCTATATAAAAAATGGCACAAATTTGGGGGTTTAGACCTCGATTATAATTGCTTTCAACAAATGATTGAAGAAGCAGATCTATGTTTAAAAGGCTTTTTCAATTAAATGGTAAAGATATTAATTCCTGACAATAGTTCTTCCTATAATAAAGTTGAAGCAAAAAAATCAGTCATAAGTTTGTGCTATATAATGGCAGGAATGAGAAATAAATTTGTCAATGACTTCAAGTTAGAAGTCAGATTATACTTATTGGCATCAGGAATATCGTATACTGTGATTGACACAATGCACAGCATTGGATTTTCTTCCTGCTATCAGACTATCAATAATTATATACAGCAAATTGTAAATAAGCATTCTAGAAAAATCAAAGAGTATTTCTTTAAACATGTAAGTAAAATTTTAGAAAATCCAATAGAGTTTATGCAAATTTATATATATATTATACAATGCTGAAAAAAAGTCTGCAATTCATAAATTTTACTCTATAGGACTTAATTTTTAGTATTATTATAGCTTTTTTTAATTTAGTTGGATTGACAGATTTTGTCTCTTTTTTTTGAGTTTTGAGAATTTTATAATTATAATAATAATAAGTTATCAGGCAGTACCAGCCTGATAACAGATTTATTTAGCATTTTATTATGATTCATTTGCCAAATAATTTTATTATTAGGCAGAAATAAAAGTTTAAAATAGTTCAAATAGTTTAAACTATTGTTTCTGCCCAAAAATTTATTGTACAAAAAATTATAGTAAGTTGTCAGATAAATCAGTTATCAGGCAGCACCTGCTTGATAACTTATTATTATCTAAATTTAACATATGTTTAAATTTCATTCAATAAATACATTTTTAATTATTCATATATTTATCTTAATTTTTGCTTCAGAATTCAAATTTATACTTATAAAAAAGGCTTCACAAAATATAGCAAATTTAAGTGATTGCCTATATTGTAATCACAGAACTTATAAAATTAAAAGAATTGCAATCCAACTAAATCGAAAAGAGCAGTAAATAGTAAATTAAAAATTGATTCTAATAAACTAAAAACTTATCTATCTAAATACTGTTTTTATAATTGCAGTTTGGTTTTAGTATCATTTGAGAATACATAAATTTCTACTAAACCTTTTTTATATACATTTTTATAAAAAGTATAATTATAATTATTAATATTTTAACTTTCATTACATTCTTTCTTACTCAATTCTATTAGTTCAAAATAAACTTCTGGTATATCCAATGGATTAAATATTAAACTAATCCTCTATATATAATTACTAACACTTAAATCTAGATAAGCTTTAGCCATTCCAGTTAGTTTAGGTCACAGATAAATTAGTCTGAACTTCTATTCTTTCTATAATATTTTAAAAGCAGAATTGTACTTTATGTAAAATCTCAATTAAATATTCAATAAAGATAGAAGCATGGTTTCACTATTAATATTAAAAAAAAAAAAAAATTATTAATATTCTAATAAATAGGATAATCATCTATACATTTATAATTTGAATGATTATTATAATATTTATAAAAAAAGAAGACCAGATACAGTTTCTTTTGTCTATTACAAAACATATAGTCACTTGCATCTGTAAACAAGTTTCATCTTGTACTTCTGTTTTACTAGTCTTCAATAATATATTAATTCATAATCCAACAAATATCAATATAAATAATATCTGTTTTTACTTAATTAATTAGTATTATGAAATATTCAATATTGCTTATACAAATTGTAAGAATCAGTAGCTTATCTCTAAAAGATCATATATTGATAATTTTGATCGAACTGATTTACTTACAGTTTATATCTATAAAGATGATATTATGAAAAAAAAACAAGAGAGATCAATAAAAAATATAAAATTAATTAGTATTAAAGAAGGAAGTCTGTATTTTATAAATGACTATATAGCAGAACTTCAAATGATTTTAGACATTAATAATAATATTTAATACTTAGCTAATAGAGTTATTCCAATAGTAGCAGACTGGTCTGAGCAGATGTTTATTCGCAATGCAATTACAAATTTGTATATAACAAATTCTCAATATAATATACTAACTAAAATTAAATCTTTAATCCTAATTATTGGACCTTTTCATATCTCTCTAAATAGCAGATAACAAACATTAATCATATATTATTTCTTTTTTGAAAAGATATTTTATTTTGTTTTTAGTAAAAAAAAAAACTTGTTAAAAAACCAAGACTATGAAGAATCAACTTACTTCTTAATCTTGTTTATAATAGCTAATATAAGATTTGAAATGTAATTATAAAAAAATTTGGTTGCTGTAAAAATATCAAATATTGCATGATTATTAATTTGTTAAATAATGTTATTCCAGTAACTTTGGATATTTATGTCACACTTTTTCATTTCAGTTTGTTTAATGAATATGTAGAAACTGTCTTTTGAATTTGGACATTTGCTCTTAGATAGAACTAACACAATTATAATAAAGCTCTATTGGCATTTTTATCTGATATCTTTTACTGGCAAGATACTAATCATTCTTTTGCAGAGGTTATAAAATTATTTTTAGTAAATTTTAATGATTACTATATTGAAAACATGTATAGTAAGATATGATCTCATATCTTTGCAACTAATAGTATTGATAATATTATTAAACAAGCTTATGTTATAAATAGGTTCTACTTCAAATTATTTAATAAGATTTATACTTGTTATAAATTATACATTATTAAAAAAACATACTAATAACCCTTATTGATATCAACCTAAACTGCAAATCAAATTTTTAGAAATTTTTATATATCAAAATTCTCTCATATATATTAGTATTAAGGAAGCTTTTACTTCTTATATAAATATGGCCCTCTTTAGAGTTAGTTATTTGGCAATTACAAGTTCTAAAGTAATCAATTATTTGACAATTGCAAGCTTTAAAATAATCAATCATATAAAGATTTACTTTAAAACTTATAATTATCAAATAACTAATTCTAGAAGAAGTTATATTTACGTAATAAGTAACAACTTTCTAACATAATTCTTTATTAATATCAACTATTAACATAATTTAAAACCAATTCAAATAGGTTGATATTAATAAGAGTTATCTGTAATAGATAAATATTTTGATAAAGTTAACCAAATTAATATTAATTTGTTAAATACACAAAATCATTGTAAGCTTAAAAATACATTTGAAAAATCATAGCAATACCTTTATAAGCCTCCAACATTAGATTTTCTTACAAAAAAAATAATTCTA